CACTCTCATTGCATTAACCTGGATGCCGTGGCCTGCAGGGGCCACAGCCTGGGCTGCTGAGGGTTGACTAGCCAGCCGGTGGAACCAGTGAGAGAGACACTGGCCACAACAGTACCGGGAACATTCTGGCATCAGCAGCCATGGGAGGCCCACGATCTCCCAGAACAATCACTGCTGGTAATCCATTCCCTTATGTGGCAGTTTGTAATCTAGGCCAGCAGACTTCCTCGGAGGGAGCTGGGCTTAGAGTTTAGTCTGTGATGAGGTCAGGCCCACACCGGATCAGGCTCAGCCCTTAGCCTGGGGTCAGGGTTAGAACTGAATCTGGAGCAGGAGTCAGGGCTCAGCCAGTGATGATTAGGCTTGGGCCTCACCCTCCAGGATCAAGGCTCAGTCTGTGACTACACTCAGGGCTCAGCTTTTGGCCAGGTTCAATGCACAGGCTGAGGTTACGGGTCAGTGTGTGGCCAGAGCTGTGTGACCCCGGGTCAGAGCTCAGTTTTGGGTCAGGATTCAGTCCACTGATTAGGCTCAGTCTTCCACCAGTTCCAGGGTTTAGTTCATGACTAGACTTGGAAGTTCAGTCTAAACTTGGGATTAGGGCTCAGTGTAATGTCAAGGGTTAGTCTAGACTAGGGTTAGAATTCAGTCTGTGACTATGACTCAGCCAAGGATCAGGGCTCCATCTGGATCCAGAATCGAGGTCTCAAGTTGGGATCAGACTTAGTAAGGACTGGATCAGGCTCCGTATGTGACTAGAGTCAGGGCTCAACCTAAGGCCACGGGCAGAGCTCAGTCTAGAGCTGAGATAGAGAGGCTCAGTCTTGGCACGGGATCGGGGCTCAGTTAACACCAAGATTGGGGCTCAAGTTGGATCTGGGATCAGGGTGAGGGTTCAATCCGGCTTTACGCTCTGTTCTGAGCTCAAGGGGAAAAAGTTTCTGAAGACCTGGGAGCCCAAGGCAGGTGGGCCTGCAAGGAAGAAGAGGCCCCCCCCCCCCACCGACTTGTAGGCAAGCTTACGTCCCTGCAACGAGCCTCTCCTTGCCTGCGAAAGCCGGGTGTCCTAGAGCCTTCTAACCTACATGGCTCTGCTGCCTGCGATCCCCTCGCACCAGAATAAAAATAGCCACTCACTTCAGAGCAGCTGACAGCGGGTGCCAGGCTGCCTAGGAGGAGGGGGAGAGGCAGAGAGGGAGGAGGGCTGCCTGAGCGCGGCCCCTGCTGTGTGACCTTGGGAAAGT